ATTCACTGGTTTTAATTTCGCTGATACCCTCCCTGGTAAGTAGAATTTGCTAAATTAAATGCACACTAACATGTAAAATAACGATAGAATTTTTTCTCTATCGATTCATGAATTTGAAAACCCAGTAAAATCAAAACATAAAAATAGTGAAATTAAATGCCAGTGAAAATAAATGGTTTTGCTGTATTTTATAATGCAGTATTGTATTGCATAGCTGAGATTCAGCAGTTGCACTTCTCTTCCCATATGAGGAAATTATGTAATTTGAACAGCTGATTTGAGACTGTCACTTGCTGTAGAGAAGCATTCTGGTCACCATACAAGGGAGTCGTATGTAGTGCATATTGACAAATTAATAATGAAAAAAAATGTGGTTTTAAAAAAAGATCATGAAAACTGTATCAACAAGACATAAAATACACATATTAACATTTTCATCTTGTGTTGGTTGGTTTATTATCCTGAGTAATCGACTGACCTTGCGTTTGAAAGAACATTGAAAGACCACCAAAACATCAGCGACTTGTGGCAATAACATTGCAATCAGAGTCTGCATATAATAGTCTGAAAAGTCATGCCAGAACCAATGTTGTCTTTATTAGTCCCCATTCACATGAAGTCGGAAAACGGGGACTTATAATTTGGTCAGCGTCCGTCCGGAGTCATATTTCAGAATCCTTTGGACCGATTCTGTTCATTCTTTGCATGTGCCTAGTACTTTATGTGGGACATATGCACATGCAGTGGTTTAGCGATTCGATTCAAAATGGCCGACTGGCAGCCATCTTGTTTTTTGAAAATGTTGCATTTTGGACATGCTTTGTCAGTTTTCATTCAAATTTGGTACATAGATTATACATGTTAGGATACATGTCCATGACAATTTCTTTAGCAATTGGATTAAAGATGGCCGACTGGCAGGCATCTTGTTGTTTAGCTCCGCTGTCGACTTTGTCGAGCAGAGCTTATCATATGAGTGATTGTCCGTCGTCGTCCGTGTCAATGTTTTACTTTTTCAACTTCTTCTTGAAAACTACAAGCCTGAATGCTTTGATACTTGGTGTACATGTACCTTGGGTAGACCTCTCCCAGATTTGTTCATTTCATGATCATATCTTCAATTCTCTAATTTTGGTGAATATTTTTGTAATTTTTGGTAAAAAGTGATATTTTAGACTTCTTCTTAAAAACCAATAGTTCAATTGCTTTGATATTACATATATAGGTACTACATGTGGACCTCTCTCAGATTTGTTCATTTTGTGATATCTTCAATTCTCTTATTTTGGTGAATATTTTTGTAATTTTTGGTAAAAAGTGATATTTTCGACTTGTTAAAAACCGCAAGTCCAATTGCTTTGATATTACATATATAGGTACTACATGTGGATCTCTCTCAGATTTGTTCATTTTGTAATGATATCTTTAGTTCTCTAATTTTGGTGAGTATTTTTGGTAAAAAGTGATATTTTCGACTTGTTAAAAATCGCAAGTCTAATTGCTTTGATATTACATATATAGGTACTACATGTGGATCTCTCTCAGATTTGTTCATTTTGTAATGATATCTTTTCCCTAATTCTCTAATTTTGGTGAATTTTTTGTAATTTTTGGTAAAAAGTGATATTTTCGACTTGTTAAAAACCAATAGTTCAATTGCTTTGATATTACATATATAGGTACTACATGTGGACCTCTCTCAGATTTGTTCATTTTGTGATGATATCTTCAATTCTCTAATTTTGGTGAATATTTTTGTAATTTTTGGTAAAAAGTGATATTTTTGACTTCTCGTTAAAAACTGCAAGTCTGATTGCTTTGATACTATACATATTGTTCATTTTCTATTGATGTCTTCAGTTCTTTAATTGAAATGTGCATTGCTAACAGCGGAGCTATATCAGCCGATGCTTTCACTTGTGGTCTATGTTTTTCTTTGCTATGTCTTAAACCAAAGGGGTCATCATGCAACACATGTTCGAATTTGATGTAAATAAACAATCTGTTGTATCCGCCACTTGGGACTCAAGTTTCAAGGACATGCTCGCGACAACCCCTTCACTTTAATATTACGAGCACAAAGAACTTTCAAAAATTTAACATGGACTGTCAAACTGTTACCACAGGCTAAGTAACACTCAAACTTGTTAAGAATATACAAATCTTCACTCTTAATTAACCAAGATTATTTGGTACAGTAACTGGGAAGATCAAAGAAAATAGAAGTTTCTATTGACATATCCCTTTCTGCTGAGGACCCACTTCTACCCCTCTATTTTTTCAGATCACTACTTTAATATCATTTTAGAGTTTGCAAGATGTCTTGTGGTTAGAACCTGGTGATTGCATGTTAATTGTGGAATTCATTGAATTTACTCCTAGGAGAAAGTGTCCAAATTGCACCCCCCCCCCTCCAGCAGCAGCAGCAATTAAATGTTTTTGTTTTGTTTTAATCTCAATGTTTTTTCTATAACTTGCGCCCTCTAGCGACGAAGTGCTACTGTGATGTAAACTGGAATAGAAGACTCCGTTCACCAGGTCGATGCTGGTAATGATCTCTAGTCGCCCTTCGATAAAAGCTGTTTTGAGATTGAAGAACGACAGCAACCAATCAGTTGTTGAAAAAACATTGCTTTCATTCGTAGTACGTCATTTTAACGTCACATATCCTTACGTCGCCAACGCGTGTCAAGAATGCACATGCAAATACGGCTTTAACCCCCCCCCCCCCCCCCCCTCAAGAAGAAGGGCGTTTGGTAACGGACACTATTAAATGGTGTCCTCAACGCCCTGTTAGGTTTCTGGTACAAATGAAATGAACATATCGGCTGATACAAACATGCCACACTGCGCGTGACTGTCTCAACAGTATTTGTCCGCCCAAAGATTTCGAAATTCTTGTTTTGTGTAATTCACCATACATGTGTTTTTAATGGAACTTAACTATAATACAATACCATACATATTACATATTTTTCTGATTCAACTATCTAACACCAAGTTCAAGTTCCACCGCATGCACCGTGACAATTTCACAAGTTTCGCAAGCGAGGGAATAGCACGTAGAATTAATTACGGCATTCATTGTAACTTTACGCAACGCATATACATAATAAGGTTTATTGGCCATGCCATTTTCCCGCCAAGCTGAAAGGACTGGACATATCGTATAGCGGATTACTTTGGAGTTTGAAGGGCGGTGGTCGTCGCGCTGCGCATGTGCGACATTTGTGTTGATAAACATTGATTTTCCCATAATCCAATGCGCTTTTCTAATGAAATCGCGAGTACGATTTTTGTTTTTGGCACCACTTGAACTAATTCGATACCTTCCAAAAACCAAACAAAATACTTTAGTAAGCTCTCAGTTTGTACTAGTTGAGTGTCCGTGGTATACATGACAGGGAGTTGGACAAACTTATGTATTTTAATAAATTATTAAATAATAAAATGTTATATAACTTTTCTTTTACCCCCCCCCCTGGTCTTTTACCCCCTT